CAGTTGGTGGTTTTTCTTTGTCTGTGAAACCTTATCCTTACAAATTTCGTGCATAAATTAAACAGTTTTAACGATTAACCAAATTATATCGAAAACCAAAAAGTATCTCAACTGTACAGTTGCCGCTTACAATCAAAGTTTTATTCGATACCAGAAAATATACTATTTGGCATAAGATGATCAATGAGTATAATTGCTTAGTACCTTATAATGAACAAGAATATTTTAAACAAAATAGTATTAATTTTTGCTTGTAAGGTTTTGATAAAATGATAACTGTCAACAAAAGACAGTCAATGAATGACAATTACTAGCGGTTTCATGCTGTAACAGTCTAGTTAAGCAAAACCTAACAGCCAGTGGTCTGGAGTCACTTGGCAAAAAAATCAAATCAGGAAGACAAATCCTAATCAGAATCAAATAAAAAAGGTTTTAGTCACGTGAGAGTGAGGAATATAAAGTGTGGTTATAAGAGTCCTGGTAACAGTTACCACAAAACAGTCAGGCAGACTTAAAAAAACAATGCTGTTAAGAATGTATTTTTTATAGCATTTATTCCATTGTATACTTGCCTGGTTCTTCAATATTAGTGCACATTTGCAGACTCACTTAGTTGTCAGTTAGTTCCTAGTGTTCGAGTTACGCCCACTATGCTGACCAATATGCTGCGTACAATCAGATGGAAAATCAAGTCTACGTCCCAATGATATCGGGTTTCTATATTTACTCCCAGTAAAGTTTGGAAAATACAACTGAATAAGAGTATTATGTCTATGTAAGCAAATTGGGTGTTAACTTAAAGAAACTATACTTGTCGTCTGGAAACAGAAATGGGAATTTTCTCAAACACCCTCTTGCTCGATAAGCTAGATTTTTTTAACACAACGATCCTTGGAAGCTGCATTGTACTACTAAAAGTCGTCAGTTTAACTTATGTCAGCCAGTGGTTTACAATTAAACTCGAATTTATAACTGAACGCAACATTAGTTCACTCCTGTTGTTGTTTGACTGCATTCATTTAGAAGCTAAATGTAAGTTTGCGAAATCCTTACTAGACTGGATACATCTAGAACTCATCTGCACAAAAGTGTATGTAGATGGCACATGGAAAAAATGATGCAGTGTTAGAAAGAGAAATATTCGAGGATCAACTTTTTGTATTATTCAGAGTAGTGTTTGTCGCCAGCTCATTTATCAGTAATAATGCACTAGATAAGACTGAATCTGACTAAAATGGTCACCGAATGTCTTACAAACATTTTCTCTAAGGACAAACGAAGAGGAAAACGATGTTAGTTTAGAAGAACAGCATATGTACTTGTGGAGAGAGATAGTGGAGCGTGAGACCTCTGAACCAGCTAACTGAAGGGAAATAAGTGCTTCATAATTGGTCTATATCATGGTTTGGCAGTAATCAAGTGCTATCAGCTAGTAGTACCCCTCAAAGCTAACAGTATCAGTTGTTTACGAACCTTGGTTTCGGAGACGTATTATGCTTATTAGTGGGGTCGTGAAGACTTGAGTGTTGACCGAGTCCAGATTGACTATGTTCACCACTAAATACTAATTACTAGTTACTAGCCCGTCAAGGTTAATGAAAAGTAAATTCAGGATAAAGAATATATTTGAAGGAGAAAGTGGGCGACATAACGAGCAGTAAGTTATGAATGATGACAGAAACGCAAAAACAGAAGGTTGTGCGCAAGTAAGTGTTTTCAGTTCAGTTAAACAAAATGAGTACAATAATAAATGTTTCCTTTTCACCAATTGCGTTTTTTTCGTGGAAGTGTTCCACTACAAGACTATAGAAAACCACTAGTGATTTATAAGAAGCTTAGATGTTCTAGGTAGGTGAGTTGATTTTCAGGAATATTCAAGAAACGGTTGACTCCTAGGTTATTATAGACTGTCAAACAGTTAGAGATCAATAACTATTAAATAGTTTTGGGAAATATACATGAGGAAAAACTTTAAATTTTCCAGCTATGCTTTACTTTTATCTCATATCCGATTTTGACTTTTTGGATAAAAAAAAGTGAAAAAGTAAGCCAAAAAGTACAGCACTAACGTTCCGTTTCGTTAAATAAACAAAAGTTCAATACACTTCGAAAATGATTATTGAGTAGTGGATATTTGAAACTTTTAGTTGTATTCTCATAGGACACCACTAATCATACTCATGGCGCATTTCAAGATAGAGAAAATTTAAATCACTAAACAATACAAAATATATAATTGATTAGATCAACAAGTCAAAAAATCAGTAATTTATAAACTCTCACCCGTACTACGTATTTAGGGGTCAGTTTCACTCACATACAAAGACAGAGTAGCTAAATTTGTCAAACATAGTCAGAAAAGTTTAGTTAGTTCTCTGATTGTAGGGTCTTATGATCGTTTCTTCAGTCGTTGTAAACTCATTAGTTGGTACAGCATGTGATCGGTATTGATGAGTTCGAAGTTTAGGTGCAAAACATATTTGTTTTCTGATGAAGTATAGTATAAGGACACTTTAGATTACTTTGTTATGCTTCCAAACTGTGAACTTCATTTATGATTTATACCAATCCCTGAAGACTGGAATTTGTATCATATTTTACTACCAGGTAACAATATGTTACATTTTAGTGATAATTTCTGATCTAAAACTAAATGCACTGTAGTTGGATAAAGGAATTAGCTATTGAGTGAATCTTGTTAACTAAAATAAAAATATCTAGCTCAGTATAATGTGTTTTATTTTGAAATTACTGAATGACATACTTCATTGAATATTTGAGACAATCCTAGTATATAAATTACCACCGAGTGGCATACTTAGACTTGAAGTATAATCATAACTATATCTAAGACTTGATTCGTAAAGTTACTCAGATACTACTGTGAGTTTACAGAAGACCATGGATTTTTATCGATAAGAGATTGTATGTATGTCTATTTCTACATAGTTTAACAATATTTAATATAACTAGACTTTGTAGTGATAAGGTAATAATATTATTATTTTACTGGATTTAGAAACAAACATGTTATTTTAGTAATATGATCACCCATTATGCATATAAATAAACTGAAGATAATTTACAAAGCTATAGGTACCTTGATAATTATACATGAGAATTACTTCAGAGAAAATGTACACAAAAACTAAAAAATTCAAGTGTTGTAGTCACTGTTACTTTCTTTATTCTGAGAAACTCACGACATCACTGTAGATTATCGCCTTAATATCCATTTTACTGATGAAAGTTAAAATGATGATAGCACTTTGATGAAAGTAGAACACCATCAAATCAGATCTAAGCTGCTTTAACTTTGAGTTAAATTGAGAAATATATGAATTAGCTTAAAATATCGGTTACTGAATATAAAACAGTCAAGTAGTCACAGTATAAAATATTATTGTTGAAGGATTGGTTTAGGATCGAAATTCATTTCATTTACTGCACCATAACACTTTTATGATAAGTTTAGATACCTAAAGGATTATTATCAATATTTTGAACTAAGATAATTTTGCAAACGTCTCAACTAAGCAGTGATCGTTTTCTCACTGTTTTCAAGGCCATTCAAGCTGATTCACCACGTCCTAGTATGAAATCGAAAGAAGTATGGTTCAAACATGTTGGGAGTAAGCCACTTAAGTATGAATAACTAACCATCATTGTTTATGTTGCATTGCAAAAGCAATGCTTTCATAATATGGAAGAATTATCACAACCAATGATCTACGTTTATAGAATTATTTAAAAATTTGCCATACCTCATTACTTATTTGAAACCATTGACTGAACATTATTATCATTAGCATATGGTAACAAAGAATAACTAAAGGTACGATTGAATGAGGTAACTACTAACAGTGACATTTATTCATTACAAACTTTTTTAAGTAGTTAAAGTGTTGAAATAGTCACCGCAAAGTTTCAGTTTTCTAAACTGTACTGTATGATCAGTCAGAAATATTTACTACTTTAGATATTTAAATTTCAGGTTATTTTTTGCAAAAACGATGTCATACAATACTTATATATATATATATATATATATATATATATATATATATATATATATATATATATATATATAGATATATATTATATATACATATATATATATATATAGATATATATTATATATATATTTGCCACGTCCTTTTTTTAAAAAATGACACTGTCTCATCTTCAATAAACTAATAATGCCAGAAACAGTTGAAATTCAATCAGTTTACAGAAAAAGCATTTTTCTTTGCCTAAAGGTAAATAGGATAGTTTCAAATTTTTTTTATTTACATTCAATAGTCACATTTTATTCTATATTGTATACATGTGTTTTATATTTCATCAATGTCGGTCAACAATAATAAGAGAATAAGATTATTTAAGTAAAAAAAATTATATTAAGGGGAGATGGATGGGGAGAACAGAAAGCTAGAAGAAAAGGTGTGAGTGAGGTAATAAAGAAATATTCTAGCGGACATAATTATCTTTATCTCTTTAAAAACACATATTAGTTAATTACGCTCGACAGATTGTACACTCAATCAAAAATTTAAGTGGAATATATTTAATTTTCTTATTATTCATCTTAATAATACTTTAGTTTGTTTTTGAAAAAAAAAATATATATATATTAAATAAGTCACCCGATGTTGTTTTTTTTTCTGTTTTCTGCAAATGACAAATGCTTAAGCCAGATAAATATTCCACATTTTTCCATCGAAAAAGAGGTAAATAAAAACACATCTACATTGACTATACAATGAGATCAACTGTTAAGTATAAACAGTAACTTATAAATAGTGGTTGATTTTCACTGATTTTATTCTGAAAGAAAAATTCTGGTTATCATTGCTGAAAACTATTCATTTGCATAGATAGTGGAGTTATATTTACATCGACAAAAAATAATAGTACTAATTAGTGTTACAAGTAATATCATTGTAGTAAATCAGTTTGAATGCAAAATCAGTACATATAAAGAAAAGAACACAACTCTAATGCCCAGAAGTAATGATCAATTATTTATTAACGACCATGAGATTATACCATTTCAAGATAATAATAATTATTATTATTATATGACTCATACAAATTCAGACTGTGAATTTTACATACAACAAAGTCAACAGCAACTGCATCAACATTCAGATATTCCAGTTCATCATTCTAATTCAAATTATGTAACTATGAATAAGTTGTTAATGTTGAGTGGATCAAATTTTTTACAAAATCATGATTATTTTACTCTTGGATTAGAAAATAACATATTTCCTTCACGAAATAACCTAGAAAATGTTAATTCTTCATTTTCGAATAATGATACTGCTATAAGTAAGAATGAATTGTTTGATATCAGTGATAATTTAAAAACAAATCATAATGACGTACTTAGTAGTATAACTAATGAATCATGTTCAGAATATATTCATAGTGTTTTTGATAAAGATTTTCAATCGGTTGCTAAAGTACGTGAAAGACGCAGAATGTTCAGTATTAATTCGGCATTTGAAGTAAGTTTTTCATGCAAAGTATACATGTTAATTAAACAGAATTTTCCGCTTAAAATATACTTAAATATATAATTGTAAACTAGATTGGAAGAGATAATTTGTTGTCAACTAAAAAGGTTGACACTATGTTTAGACTAATGTGTTTCTTTTGATATGAGATTTTGTCGATTGAATAGTTAGTTCTGAATCAGTTACTTCTTAGTTATCTTAGCTTAAGTTTAAGAAACTTCTTCTCGATATACTCTATTTAAAACTACCATGCTTTCTAAAATTCACTTATTCTGATTAAACTCAGAAAGTATTCTGAAAATAATATATAACAGTTTTAAATCCTAACATAGACTTCTTTGATATAAATTTTTATAATTGTTTAAAATAGTTCATTAATAAATATAAAATACCGCTTTAAAAAAAAATAACTTACTGGTAAATTGTAAAGTGAGTGTTGTTATGACGACAAACAGATTATGTGGATAGTACTGTGGTGTGCGCTACTTATAAGTAGTATATGACGTGAGTGTAAACGTAATGTCTGGCAGCAGAAGATGGGGGAAGATCAAGAAAGGAAGAGTTATAACACAATGAAATTTGTATGAAACGCATGAATAGTGAAATTTCAGACAATGGATTGATGATGGATTGAAGATTTGCAAATTAACGGTTACGATATGGTTTTCCTATTTTACTGAGTAACTCTGTAATTTTCGTTAAATACAATTCGGTTGCCCTCACCTGTGTTCTCCTTCACTACAGTACTATTATTCTGATGAGAATAAAGGAGTAATTAGATATAATTTAGAGTGGATCTGTTTTAGTTCATTTCACTAGTAATTAAAATGATCTTAGTAATACTATATATATATATAAGTATATACACTTCAATATAAATAATTCAAAATTACATGTGTATTGACATACTAACAAATAGTTAAACATGTGGTTATTTGTTTCCTATTTTAATTCTATAAGATAATAACATCAAATTACACAATGGTATACAACATGCCTCAGCTAACAGAAGTATGTTTTATTTTTTTTTATTTCATTGTCTTTTGAATGACTAACGTAATAGAAAAACTTTACACATATCATAACGATTCAGCAAACAGTGAAAAACCGCTTGTCAAACAAATCAGTTATTTAAAAAAGAATAACGACACGAGTTATAATACTTTATAAATATTTCTCTATTACTAAATCTAGTTAATGAAAATGCTCATGAAGATACATAGTGGATTCTTTGTTAGGTTAGTGAAATACAAATTATCTGAAATCAAATGATAAAGTGTTGTTCATTCTGTTCATTGCATCAAAATTATTGAAGAGTCTATTCGAAAAATAATTCACTCTAGTTTTTTAATCGAAATTTGTGGTTTTAACAACTTGGTATGTAAGCAAACAGTCGGTTCAACAATAGAATTTAATCAAATGTAAAGATCACCCAAATAATGATTAACATTATAAACCTTAGCATCTTGGAATCCCTCAGAAGTTTATATCTTCGGCTTGGATGATCGTTTTCAAAAATACCCTAATCTTATAGTAGATATTATTAGTATTCATTTGTTAGATAAGAATTAAAACGTTAACTTCTCAAATTTTGCACATTTTGAAAAAATATCCATCATCATCATCTACAATCGTTGTTCGGAACAAGTTCTTTATCTGGACTGCTAATTTACATATTTTCATCAGAACTAAAGATATAACATGCCAAAAGTGTATATCGATGTAATTAAGTAGTGGACGAACTATTTCCGTTAGACTTAACTAACGAAGGAGGTTTTTGGATTTCACTGCTGTAATCACAAGATCACTTACTTCCCATCAAGTAAATAAAGATTATTTGTTGAATCCAGAATAAAATCACGGAAAACAACTGCCTATAGTAATCCAGCAGATATTATCTCTTGATAAAAATTAGCTTCAGATTTAACAATCATATACAAACTGTCTATATACAAAAGTCAATGGTCTTTATCTCAAAAGTATTAGTATTCACTTTAAATGTAAAGTAGATAATATGATTTATTTTTCTGGTTAGCGTTTTTTTGGCAAGTTAGTTTATAGTTGGGATGGGGGTGCCAACCCCATGTCCACCCACTCTTCCTTTATCCGGGCTTGGAACCGGCAGTGGCCCCAAATGTTCTACTGGCCTCTGTGTGAGAACTACAGAGACATCACTCTTCTTCGCCAGATATGTAGATTATTTAAAAATATTTATGAACTCATGAAATTTCCAAGATTTTTTTACAATCAATTTAAAGTAACACGCAATGATTCTTTACTATCAAAGTTCCAATTCAGAATTTTGGATCAAAACTGAAGGCGTAAATCTTGAATCAATGCCAATATTCGGTCTAGGTTAATCACCTCAAATTATTTACACATCCATCTAGAAACATGAAAGTATACAGATCACTATATGCAACTGAAGACCTTCTAATGAAATAATTTTTATTGCTAATGAATTAATTATTACTTAGACAATTATTTTCTTTGATCGTCTATCTCGAATTATTTTTTCTTTTGATTAGGCTCTGAGATCATGTTTACCAACATTTCCATATGAAAGACGAATCTCTAAGATCGATACATTACGACTTGCTATTGCGTATTTAGCATTATTGAAAGACCTATTAGCCAATATGGAAATAACGAATCCAGAACAAGATGTAGGAAGAGGTCAACTAGTGGTACAGTTCATGATTAAACGTCTCAATTCATCTAAAAGGCACGAACTTAGTTGGTATACTAGTGGTAAGTGTAAATTTGTTTTAACAGATATTGATAGAAAGCTTTTGGAGAGTGGGCTTTTACAAAATGAGATAATCAGCACGTTTTGAGTGGTTGCAACGATGGATAGATTACTGTTCAATAGATGATTCATGATGATGTTGTAACTTCCTGCTGAATTAAATTTTATCAAAAAACAACGCAGAGAGCGTAGTTAGTATTTTTCTTAGTGAAATGATGCACTTATAAGCACAGTATTGAATATGATTATTGACCATTTGAAAGATAAGCGGTTAAAATACCTGGGTTTCATTCGCTAATACTGAGATTAGGGTCTGACTTTCATTTACACCTAAGTATCATGTCACGTGTGTGAATGTCAGAACAGATGACATATCAATAGATATTTTAAATGAATAACAGAACTGTAGCATTTGTTCCAAGAAGAGTACTTGAACAATATAGTTTCTACGGACAAGGTCCTGCTTAAACGTTTAACACGATATAAATTGGTACTTATATTTATTCGACTGATTTTGGAAATTCTAACGGTACCTATATCAAACAATGATATCATTTGAAATATTATTAAAAAATTCTGGTAGTATCGGACAACTGTTTTATCTGAGTATGAAAATATCCAACAAAGCATACAGATTATTTATAACGGTCCGCACTCAAAACCGTCATTTCTGGTGAGGAGTACAAAATTAATTAACCATTAGATAGGAATTGAATTTTTTTTATTTTTTTACTTCGGTCAATAGCACAAAGCTACCATCAGTGTTGTTGATCGGTTACTTCGTTCATTTATGTCTAGTTTTACTACACAAGTCACTACCACAAATTATGCAAGATTGCCAAAACAACACATTAGTTATATTGTTATTTTTAACTAGTTATTAGCCCTGATCGAAAGGTTAACATGTTATCAGTGGAAAGTCATAATCTATGAAGTCATTCAGTTCAGTAACTCACTGATAACAATGAACAAAGAGTCTAGTCAATAATTGACTGAGATTGTACAATTGTGACTGCATAATATCCCAATAGGTACACAGGCTTTAATTTACATTATACTTTGATTTGTCTTATTTCCTTCAACACTAAGACGAATATGATGAAATGTTCATTCATTACTATTATTGATTCGAATTTCTTTATAACTGAAAACAAAAATGGGATAAGCTGTTAATTTCCATAATATAACACTAAGTATTGTGATTTATTTACTTACTTATGAGAAAAATATTTTTCTAGATTTAATTGCACGTCTAAATTGGATACGCTGGGATCGACTTGGTTACAGTGGTAAAATTGACTGGTCATCTTCGATTCATTCCGATTGCCATCAGTAAACAATTTGTCCGTGTTTCATTCTGTGAATTTAATTCATTATTCAGCTATATAACTGAACATTTAAAATTTGGTTCATTTAAAAAAAGTCAACGAAATACTGTTAAACATTTAGTGCATAATACTCTCTCTTTCTCTTGCAACCATTTGAAATATGTTACGTTTATTTAACTTAGTTTGATTTTTTTCCTTACCATCTTTTCATCAGTTTGTTTCATTAAATATAAACAAATAAAATTCTCAATAACTTATCATTTTATTATAATCTACTGAGTAATTATTAATTTGTGAAGCAATTAAAACTTATTTAAAACAATTAGTCCCTTTTATAAATTTTGATAGAACAGTGAGATCTATTAAAACTTATGTGTAAAAATTAGTTTCAACGAAATAAAGATTTGAACTGAGTAACATGTATTCACTTTATGTCAATATATTCTCCTCAGTTGCTTACAATTTGTAATATTTGAAAATCATTATTACAAAATGACTTGAAATCATTTACATTCATCAGTTGAAAGTTGGAAGCTTTTATGAACACACATCAGTATGGTATAGCAAGTATGTAAATCGATAGTAGAGATTAGATCAAATATTTAGTGGAAAGACATTGCAAATTAGTGATTGAAACAAAAGAGTTCAAACTATGGTCATGTAACTAACGAATGCTAATAATCAACAGAGCTTCGTTTGCTTGCTGAGGCTCTTGCCAACAAGCGTCAGAAACCTAATTAGTATGTTCAAAAGATGGATGTGAATATTTCGCTACTTTAGTAACACAAATACAGCTTCGTTATATCATAAAATTCTGTTCAACTTTTGTCAGTTGATTAAATCATTGTGTATAATTTCAAACAATCTTCTAGATGAGTAATTTTAATTTATCAAGCTTGATTCATTTCATTCTTATTTGCATGGGTTCATCAATTAATCACACTTTGAACTCCTTGATCTTTTGTTTCAATCAATAATTTGCAATGTCTTTATATTCAATATTTGATTGAATCTCTGCTATCGATTTACATACTTGCTATACCATACTGATGTGTGTTCATAAAAGCTTCCAACTTTCAACTGATGAATGTAAATGATTTCAAGTCATTTTGTAATAATCATTTTCAAATACTACAAGTTGTAACCAGCTGAAGAGAATATATTGAAATAAAGTGAATTCATGTTATTTTGATCAAATGCTAATTCTCTTCAGGATTATAAAGGAAATTACCTATGTAAATATGCCATGATCATTTGTTAAACTTTGACCAGTCTTGATGTATCTTACGATGCGTCATACCCGTTACTCAACTGAGTAGTTCTCGAGACTGTGTACTTGAATGGATTACACACTGAGAAGGGTACTGGATTCGAAACTCCGTACGGTCATTAACACTAGGATATAAGTAAATACAACTAATGAGTCATAAGCAAGACAAATAGGGTGTCGTGGATTCCACTTCTAGCTAGAATCTGTTGCATTCTATGTAAAGCTTTTACTCAAGTTGTGGATACTAAATTTAGTGGCTAAACATTATCAGATATGAAGAGATTTTAATTTCACTTGCACAACAGATCTCGTGCTACTCTAAAGTAACAGATTTAAAAAAACTGTTGAACGACAGATCTTACGATATCTGTAATTTATTAAGCTTCAACAACACTAACAAGTGCGTTGTTCGAAAAACATATAGGAATTCTTATTAGGAGGTTTTTTGGAGAAAAGTATAACTTGAGGGTGGTATCTGTTAAAGATTCACTTCGTCTGAAGTACCATTAAGGAGTAAGGTCTACTGTCTACCTAGCATGCAACTTCCAATCATTACGGACCTGGCGGTATAATGGTTAGGTGCTTGCAGGTAGACTTGAAGTTACTGGGTTCGATCGCTAAACTTTTTGTTTTTCAGATCAGCTAGGCCTACAGAATCTCGCGCCATCGAAGTTTGCTGCGCCTCCTAAACGCACATGCAGGACCCGAGTCCAATCACCTATTTGACCTATCCTTGTCAAGATCAAGAACCGTCTCGATTCACGCTCCGTGTATCTGGGAGCCATGCTGCTGCCTCTCTGGTGTAGGTATTTCGTCAAGTCCTAGGACTGAACTAACTCTCTTATACTGGATCCTAACAGATAGTCGCTTTTGCGCCGTCCGATTAAACGGGACAGTAAGGACTCGGAAAGATAGAGGCACAAACCGTTGCCTCTGTCTACGCTCCCACTGACTGCAGCTCGGACGACGAACAAAATGAACTTAACAGAAAGCTTTCGAGCCTCCTTCGGAAAGTTGGCGGCTTTGGTGCAGTAATAGTGGCGGTGAGTTTATTGCTCAAGTAGGTATAATAAGTGAGAAGAAAAGAAACCTGAGTGGATCTTATGGTATCATGGCTCAAAGAATAGATAATGGCAACCGCCTACTGCAGCTATGCTCAGATAACCGCAAAAGTCCTCTCACAACAGTCACAGAGAAATCAGTTAAACTTTTATAGTGTCTAACATGTTAGCCCAACTAGAGCTTGTGAAGAGCAGATTCGAGAAAAACAAGCTGGTTTCCGACCTGGGTGTGAATGTAAAGACCAGATATTCACAGTCATACATTCAGACGTCTCACATTAGTTGCATTCCTTGACCTTAAAGTAGTATTTGACTCTGTTGATCGTGAGGTTCTGTGGTAGTCTGTCACTGAAAGGTGTACCAGAGAAGTACATTAAATTTATACAGGCTCTCTGCTCGAACACTACTGGTCGAATAAGAGCTAACGGTGAACTGTCATTGGAATTGATTACTTAAAGTGGTGTCCGTCAGGGATGTCCGCTTTCTCCATGCTTGCTTAACTTTGCCATAGACATGCTTTAAGACTTAATATTTCGTCTGATTTTCTAGGAGTGCACCTGCATTGGCGCAAGTGCATCCACTCCTTATGTTCTCTCAAATTCTAATCATCTGAAATTTCTTCTTAAATTTATTTCACTCTTCGAATAATATCTTTTGACCCTAATCTCTCCGATTACTACTTATTATCCTAATACCAGTACCTCTATGGGATTTGAGTTGACAATGGCATTTCTGTGTACGTATGTACGAAGTTCTACGTTGTAGCCGACTGACTGAGCCATTATAGTGAGAAAAAGCAATAGGAATATTTTCGCACGGCATTCTGAAATATAGTAAATGTATATTTAAGCTCACCAACTCTACTATATGAATAGATCAACTTGATTAATCTAACAGCATGATTTTATTCTTTTGACTTAAAAATATCCTAAGCTACGATAGTGTGAAAATCGCTTTGTTAGAATTGAACTAAAACATAGTTATTTACTTAATATTAGCTGTAATCTTTGTATTAATAGACAAATTTATCAACAAAAGCTAATTTTACACTGAAATAAATACAGGACACATGAAAACATGTACTAACAAAAATGGATGAATAATTCTGTAACTGCAGTAATCAAGCGATTCATATTTTAAGTAGTAATTCAAATAAACCTTATAATCATAGTTTATGAATGTAAACAGTACATTATATCCTACCTTTTATTTACAGAAAGAGTTTAAGGTTAAACTATTTAGCGTAAATAGTCCAAAGAAATCTAATGCTTACCATCGATTTATTTTAATGAGTGGTATATTCATTTTAAAAGCATGAGATAAACAAAGTCCGCTTTGTAAATTAGAAAGGATAAAGTCTACCGATTACCCTACGTATGGTTATAAACATTTAACACACAAGAAATCTTTTATACGACTAAATGTATTTTAATTAAAAGATTTGCAAGCATGATGCATAGGACAACTTCATCCATGAGCAGTAGGAATATCGAAATGCAACGTCTGACCTATTATTCAGCAAAAGGTGTTACTTTTTACCTAAGATTACGAGTGGAGAACAGCTGAAGGATTGACGCTAATTAGTCAGTTGAACAAGATGATAAACTATGCAAAAGGATAAATCATAATCTAAAAGACACAAGCTTTAAAGTCAATAATTAACAGTCTAAAATGTTAGTATTTAATAAAGCCACTTCTCTTGTCCGTTGTTCTAATAAGCAAAATTCATTTAGTGAAATTATATTAAGTATTTATTTTAAATAAACATTATAAGATGCATCAGTACTATGGATTATCTCATTAATTGACCACCTTTAAAATTTATCAATCAATTAAGACAATATTCTTAGTTTTCTTTTTTATATATACATACTAAAACAAGTAAACTCCATTTATTTTATTCTAAAAAAAAGGAGAAATAAACAGTAAAAATCACTAAATCACTTTGATGATTCAAAAGTTTCCGTATACAGAAACGAACATGTCGTTATCATTTTGAAATATTCAATAGTCTGATTGCAAGGAATCATTAAAATAGAGATGAAACTAACCAGATAAAAGTTCTTTAAAAAGTCAAACAACAAGATAAACATAGATATTTGAAAAACTAAATTACGAGTGAGTTGGTTGATAATTAAAATCCATTATAATAATAGTGTAACATTGATGCACTCATTATTTAATTGAAACTCAACACTCACCACAACCCTAAACGGATAATTATCATGTGCTAACTGGTGACTAACTTCTAGAAGGAATTCTCGGAAGAAGTCGTTATCAATTAAGTTTAACTGCATCGGGTGTGAAGCAGTTGCTCACTGAAGGCAATGGATGAGGTCGCACAACATCGCGGATTGATTGAAGTTAGATATTAACACCGTTGGATGCCGACTGAGTGGTTTTGGAGGTAAAGTGTTCGGGTGCGAATTCGCATTTGATTTCCGCTAGTGTGGCCATGAGTGTGCACTACTGGTGGGTCCCATACTAGGACGAAACGGACATTCAATGCTTGCAGGTTTCGAATGGTGGTTTACTAAATGAATCTTAAAAACTTCCACAACTTACTAGGACAAAGACCATTCGCACTAGACGTGAAAAAAGCAGTTACAATAACTGATGTGACCGGTAAGCCATGACAACTTTAAAATATTTTGACTCCTAAAGATGAACGATAATAAAACTCCTGTTTGCTGAATATTAGGAACAAAATCTTTATAATAATATAAACTGACTGTAAAAAACTGATTGATCGTTTGTGTTGGCTATCAATGAAAACTAGGATGGGTTGAATGGCTGTTCTGTCCGTACATCAGTTGAGTATCGAGAATTAATCAATATCAGGTGCTGATAAAATTCTATCAATCAAATTGCGATGCGGTCACTGGTCCAAGCGTCTCAATGTTAATATTAATTCGCTGGAGAAAGTCGACAGAAAAATCTTAGACCTATGTTTTGTACTAAGCATCACTCATCCATGTGGGGTTCTTGCTATGTTGAGGGGGCGATGGTCCTGGTGGAGTTAAAACCAGGGTCGCTTGCCTTCACGGTCTCGTGTGCCGTTGTTAATCCTAACCTCTCCGACTACTGCTAATATGTTTACTACCTCTACTACTATTGGATTTGAATTGACAATTACATCTGTATGCTAATGTGGTATGGCAACATGAACTGATGTACGTACGTACGAAGTTCTACGTTGCTATTGATTGATTGGTTGATTGCCTTCATGGTCTGATACGCTACAAATGACCTACTTTGTGCTACAACGGACTATGTAATCTCTGAGAATTTTAAAATTTATGTTTGTTTTATTATGAACAAATCTAGTCCAACGTCATAATTATCGTTCTCCTCATTAGACTAACCGCATACATATAACAGACCCAAATTGTAACTAGTATAGTAGTAGGTTTGTTGAATAAACATCAACAAAACCACTTTTTTCATTTTGTTTATTACTTTTTAGTTAACCGTATGATAATCAGTAAAAAAATGTACAAAAAACTCAAATTATCATTTTCGGAGAAGGAAAATGGAGTCAGACACACAGGAAATTTACATAAAAGGAGATCGACAGTGTAAATCTAATTGTTCAAACACAGCTGTATGAAATTAAGGAGACAAAAAAAGGCAAAATAAATTCTTTAAATTAAAACAGCATTCCATCAATACTTGGTTTTATTTGTTATGAATGGCAGAGAAATGAGTCAATAAATAAATAAATGTGATGAAAATAAAATGTACAATAGATGAACAATTATTTGATTGGTTTATTTTATTTCAATAAAAGAAACTAAAGTATAAAACGGCACAATAGAAATAATGCTTCATTAGTTGAATGAATAAAATGCAGAACAAAAACAGAAACAGGTAATCCATTTTATAGAGTCTGTTCACTTTGGCTTTAAGAGATGGGGTTTCTATGAAGCTGGTATTGAGATAAACAGCTAGCATACATGCAGCTTACAAAATAAATGCTTATATATATATATATATATATATATATATATATATTCAAGATAATGGATTAGTTGTAAGTATACAGCTAATAGGTATAATTGATTGACTAGGTTGTAAGGTTTGCGAAGTAAATTCTAGTGTTGGACTGGTAAAACTAAGGGTAGAACCAGGATGAATAGACATAATTGGAACTGGGAGGAATCCGGATACAGTAGTCAATGAACAAGGTGAAATTGTTGGTATAGAAACACATTCATTACTGTCTATTCGACTGCTGTTATTATTGTTACAATTATTAACAGTAGCAGTCACAGCAGGGGTAGTAGTCATAGAACTAGCTCTAACAGTTTGTGATGCATTGTGATCTGTTTGTTCTGTTTTAGGAACAAGATCATTAAGAATTATAGGAGTATATGATTCAGAAGTATTAGCACAATGGTTATCAGATTCATTGCTATTACTAATTGAAGTAGGCGATTTAGGAGGTAAGGATTTGATTGGTAAATCAGGGACAGTCCATACCCATTCTTCTCGTGTACTTAATGACCAAGGGCAAGAACGAGCACGCATAAACTCAGGAAGAAAAGCACGTAGTTCATCATTAACATGTGCATAAGCTACCTATATTGTAAATAAATGTGAATAACAACAATGTAGTTAGTAAAAAGACTTAACCAAACTTTTATAAACGAAAAAAATAGGAATATTGCTGAAATAAACACTTACTTGTGATTCAGTAAAACTAGAACCACAACCAGAACAAATAAATTTAGATCGCTTTTCTGAACCGTTTTCACTGACGGATATTGGCTGGTAGCGAAGGTGTAATTCAATTGAACGGAATAGAGCAGCTTCTACACGTTTGGCATCTTTGTAGTGAACACCAGAACGTATACGCATACCATCGGAAAAGTATCGTCCAATTTGTCTTTTTACATGTTCTGTCAGTCGTCCATACTGTGACAAATCATGTTCAATTTCCCTCTGCAATATAAATGGTAAATTAAATAAAAAAAAAGTAAAATACACTGGAAAACAAACTAATATTCAGTCACGTGGGAAATCCTTTTGCAATAGTAATCCAAAGCTTGGTAATACCAGATAACCGAATGGTTCCCCATATCTTGTATAGGTGTTGAGCTTTAATGAAATCATGAACCGAGACCAATGGTCCTGAGTTCGGTTCCCTCTTGCAGGGTCGTGGGTGCGTGCAATAGCATTCATTTGGTGAAAGATGCAAGCTATGTTTTCGATCAACTAATACTCAAGTACTGAGTTCTGCATATATATATATATATACATATATATATATATATATATATATATATATATATATATATGAAAGTATAAGCTTAAGGTTTTTATTACCTGATTTATGAAAATAACATGGAAATTTAGAGCAATGCGATTACAAATAAAAATATACGAAATTTTTGCTATACGCATGTTTCACAGAAGTAAAAAGGGTATTTTTTTATTATCATTTTCGAAGCAATCGTTCTTACTTATTTTCCATTTGTTACGGTTTCAACGACGATTGTTGCATTTTAGGGATGTGAACGGTGGGAAAATTCGCAAATGATAAAAAAGCCGACTTAACAGAAGTACTCGAATGATTAGAAGTAATGGGAAATAAACGGTGTAGTGCGGAGATAATTAATTTATGTAAATAGTAAATTTACTAGTATAGAACGTAGGACAAACTACTTATCATTAAAAACGATAGTCTCAGTCGTTTTATTATTTAAAGAAAGCTGAAGTAGTTAATTAATTTACATTAAGATTATTTATTAGAGTGCATATAAATTTATAGTAATTTGAGCAACTTACCGAAAGTAAATGCCTTGTAACTGTGTGAAAAACTACTTCAGTACGACCACTGTATATAAATCGTCTACAAACTAGACATATGAACTTCTTGTCAGATCGTGTTATCAGCTTTGACCAATCTTGCCAAACTACACGAGGTTGTTTACCCGAAACATGTCGATGAGACTTTAATGAAATAGTAGTTGTTTGGTTAGAATCTGAAGGAACAAGGTTGCTTGAAGTGACAGAAGGCGTACCACACGTCAAACTAGAGCATGATTTGTCATTACTGTCAGTGGAGAGTAGAATTTTCGAACGTTCTTTTTTCTCTGGAGATATATTAACCTGCACTTCGTCATCCTCATAATCTGACTCACTGGAACAATGAAATTCATCGTTGTCACATGAGCTTAGTACAATACGCTGAGCCATAACCGCAGACTTAAGATAAATGAAGAGGACAAAAAGAGAAAAAACATTGTTATTTCACAGATGGTATGAATTTAAGACTTATTAATGTCTAACAAACTTACCTAATGAAAAAACAATTTAACTTATTGTTTGAAATAGCATCTCAGTCAGTCAGTTACAACGTAGAATTCGTACGTACGTACATCAGTTCAAGTTGCCATACCATATTAACACATAGATGCTATTGCCACTTTAAATCCCATAGTGGTACAGGTAGTAGAATAATGAGCAGTGATCGGAGATATTAGGGTCCAAATATATCCAGTGAAATAAATTTCGAAAGAGGAAGACAGAAGTGATGAGGAATTCAGATTAGAATTTGAGAGAACAAAAAAGAGTGGATGAACATTTTTGGTCATGTCACACTCAAGGTATCTAACCATCGGTTACTTTTGTCTCACAGATCCCAACCACATAGTCTACACATACTAACATGACTCAATCCAGTTGTCAGTGACTTTATGGATTTCTGCCATGTTTTGGTTTGGCCGTCCCTAGTTTTCGTCCAGTCTACACCAGGCGTCATAGCCCACCGAGACAGTCGGTGGTTGGGCATACGCCACATATCTCCCAACCACATCAACTGATAAAGCTTCACTATTTCATCTGTTGATCTTCCATCATTACCTAATACGTTTTTCCTAACAACAGCATTGCTTACTCTATTTTCACAGGATGTACGAACATTGCTTCGAAGACATCTATAATCGAATGCTAATAATCTACAAATATCCTCGCCTCTCACTCAGTCAGTCAGTCAGTCAGTTGCAACGTAGAACTTCGTACGTAAGTACATCAGTTCATGTCGCCATACCACATCAGCACAGAGATATAATTGTCAATTCAAATCCAATAGTAGAAGAGGTAGTAAAGA